TTGGACAAATAAATGCTTTTGAGAAAGAGAAAAATATATACATTAAACAAATAAAAGGCCTTAATGAAGAAAAAAAGAGTTTAATGTCAAGGTATGTTCTATATATATATATTATTTAAACAAATATATTCTCAAATTAAAACTTCTGAAGTGTTAATAATATAGAAAATAAAAACTATAAATTGGAGGAAGCTATATCTGCCTTAAAATCACGAATGTAAGTATTAGCATTAGTTGAAAAATAATATATGCAATAAACATCACTAATATTATAATACGTTTTTATAGAAAGGTACTTGCAAAGGATAAAAAAACTCTGAAACAACAAGTAAATCAGTTGGATCAAGAAAACAAAGATATTAAAAGATTTGAGCATGAGCAGAACATGGATAAGTTTTTAAATAAGATTAGAGATAGAAGTCAAAATTGAGTCAAAAACAAATTTATTAAGCCAAGAAATCAAGAATATTCAATTATTGTTTGACAAAAGTAATAATGAAAAATCAATGATTTGACCATCAGAAAATTTCAGCCATTAAATTTATTTTGAATTTTAGAGTTCAAAAACGAATTAAAACAGGATAAAAGATTTTTTTTGATCAATATTGGTAAATATGTTTTATGTTTGTCGAATGTAAACATTTTAGTGCTTAGATTTCATTAGATTTTTCAAATCTTTTAAGACGAAGCAAGCAGTAACATTAAGTTTTTAAGTGAAAAAATCCAAAATATAAAGTTGAACTATGGATTAAAAGGTAATTAATTAATTAATTACATGTCTTATACTAACATTAAGCTAAGTTAGAGTCCAGATTATGTGGTTTCGGCGATTTTCCTATTATTTGAACAATAGGAAAATCGCCGAAACCACATAATCGGGACTCTAATTTGGATCACTAAATCACAAGATATTCGAGTTCAATTAGTGAAGTCATACGATCATTATTAGGGTGGTGATATTTTTAAGCGTCCGTAGTGATTAACGCCTTGGGCATTAATTCGCATCAATACAGTACTTTAAATATGATAATACTAATATAAAATTAAACAGACGAAATTCACGAATTGAAGATTATTCATAACAATGCAATTAAAATATCAGGTATTATATTTATAGCTTTAGTTTAACCATTCCTACTTAATTTAATTAAAGATTTTGTCAGAAACATTAGCGTACAAAATTTACAATTTGATTAAGACCCTGCAATGTAACTATAATTATGTGATAAATACATTATTAGGTACTTTTTGTTTATTGTGTTTAGTAATGTATTTTCTACATTTCAATTGATATTTACTATGCTTTTACAATAAATATTGACAGAAACAATCATAAATATTGTTACTAGGGATGAAAAAAACGTTTTAAACAGTTTTTTAGATGTTTTAAAACTTTTTAAAAACTTTTTAAAACATTAACGCTGAGACTAAAATTTAAAATTTAGGGATAAAATGCCGATTCACCAAATTACATAAAGATAACTTTTAAAGAAAAATATTCACTTTATAAACTTTTATTAATTATATAATTACAAGAAATGTATATTTCTGATTTAACTATTTGTATAT